CCCGACGTCCAATTTGTAGTGAAAACTTAACTTTCACGAAATTCAAAAGTTCCATGCGAAGAGCATGGAAATCGGTAGTGGTTATCACAATAGGGGGAATCTTTTCCTTCTTGGCATTAAGCCGGGAAAGTTTACTAGAATTTTTCTTGGACGATGGATCATTCTCATCATCCGTGAGCAAATCAAATTGATTACTCAAATTAATTTCATCAGAAGGGGGGTCAACAGTTTGCCCCTTTCTTTTGCGTTTAGGCGCCATGGCGGCAGTAAATTTTTATCCAAATCGACTTCCAAGCAGATTACTATAAGAATCTGAAGGATCGAAGAGGAATTTTCCAAATCGATATCCAAGAAGGATTACCTCGGGTAGGGTCCAAACAAGGATCGAAGAGGAATAAGAGTTGAACAAGGTAGAAAATTTTTACAGGTTATCGTTATCGTTAACATGGTCTAAGACATTAATCACTAAGGTCTCATGATCGGTTATTTTCAAATCAGTATCCGCAACTGAACAAATGGAATCGAAATTGGAATAAACGTGGTCAATTAAAGTTCTACCACAGAATGAAAAGCAAATCAGTGGCGCCTTGTTGCCAGTTTTCCCAGACTTTTCGATTCGTTGCATGTGTGATAATATTTTTTGCATTCCTTTACTTAATGCCTTTGATTTTTTTGTTCGAATAATTCAATGAAACAATTAAATAAATGTTGTCATGTTACTTTTACATGTAACATTTGTATGCTCATCAGTACATAGTGGCTTTAGCAGTTTTTAATCCAACTGTGTACTAGGATTTAATATTTTTCTTTCAATCTGGCATTGCTGGTACTGGTATAATTGACAACAAGAATCGTACAGTACTATCCTAATATTTTGATCATGTGAATCAAATGAAAACTTTACCGTTTTATTAAAGAACGTTAAATTTATTTTTACTAAAGATTGCTGATATTGAAAAGCCAAACGCAACGGATTATAATTATGTTATGCATGCACAGCTTATTTGACACATGATCTTTATTAGCATATTTGCATAGCTTTAGCTTATTAGTGGATTTATGAATTTAAGGAATAAACATCAGTAGAAATTCATCAAAAAGTATTTGAAATTATATATTGCACACAAGAGGGTGTCAATGCAGTCAGATTTTAGTTTTGTTTAATAGTTAATATTTTTGGGCTATTTAACATGGCAAACAATACACGCAGTCGTGACCCGCGAATTATTAAACTTCCAACAGACGTGCTGGTGCACTTGATGAACGCCCAAAAAAAGGATAATACCGTAAGTTGGGGGGTAAATTGAGCCAAAAACACACAATTTTATGTTCCGTTCCTTATCAAATTCACATTTTAGCGAGGAAATTAGTTTTAAGCATGCGAATATATTCATCAATATTATATTTACAACTGTTGAAGAGATGGTTGATTTAAATCAAAATCTCATTTTACAAAAGATCTATAAAAACTGAACCATTGAAATTCTTTATGAGGGGTGACTTTGTTCCAAAAAAATACATCTGACCATAAATGTCAAAATAAGTAAATGCAATGTAACTATTAGGCGTTCATTTGGAAATGATCATAATGTCAATCGTATACATGAATAAGGATCACGTTTAATCCATGTCTATCCACATAAAAGCGTGTTAAAATATGTGATTACCAATAGACAATTTTAAACGCTTTTTTAAGGTATTTATGGCACTTAACTTTTGAACACTATTTAAACAAAACAACATGATAAAGTTATATACGCTTTACCCTAGGAGTACACGCAACATGATTAAGTCATCCATTTTCCCAACGCATCTGTGGTTTAGGGTTACTAAGCCTCTCATATCGGTTGTTCGGGGTTCAATCCCAATGTTCTCGGTTACTTTTGGTTTGATTAAAGTTAGTAATGTATCCGGTTTTGTCACATATCAAGTTTCTTTTATATCACTGGAAAAAAATTAAGTTATTAGATTGTTTTATAGCAGTGTAGTGGGAATCGTGATTGCTTCTCATCTCAAAAAGCCTGGGTTCAATCCCAGTCGACGCCGCCGGATTTTCTGAGGCATAAAATCCCTGATCACGCCTTCCTTCGGAAAGGAAGTAAAGCCGTTGGTCCCCGGTCCATGAGTTGATGGGTCAATAGGTAGGGTCCAGGTGTAGGAGCTCTGCCTCCCTGGCGTCGGTAGTATTTGATGCTCAGCACGGAAAACCAGATCAACGGAAAACAAATCAAAGGAAAACAAGTGTTTTATAATGAAGTGAAATTATCTCAGAAATTCATAAAAATATAATTTGAAAAATGTTTTCCATGAAAATTTTCGCGGTGGGGATATATTGCAAAGAAAAACCGAAAGAACCATTTTCTAAGTAATCACTTTTTTTCTATATTTTTTTCGAATGATAAGTGTGCCAGTTTTTAACCCTAGTTGTCATCTAATTGGCGCTATCTTGAATTTCAGATTTTTTCATTCATTATATTATTTATTTTGTTACAATGTTAGAGCACAAAACTGGAGCATTAGTTTTAAAACTGGCACACTTACCCTACTTGAAGATTTCTTATCTTTCACTGGTGAAAACTTCAGGATGGATTCCCTTACCTTTTTTGTGTTAAGATCAAAAATCTAACTAATTGAAAATTTGAATATAAAACATAATTTTTACAATGCATGAGGGTGGGAATGTAAAAATCCGTAAACTTGTGGGCAAAAATTCTAAAACATTCTGAGACTCCTCTTTGGCACAAACCTGCAGACAGATCTTTTGAACCATATCATTTTGTCTGCGCACGGACGTTAAACTTTTACGTTGCGTTTTCTTTGTTGTGAAGTTAAATTGAACAAAAAATACACCAATTGCTTGACCATGAATGGTTAAATGGCGGAGGCATCGAACCTTATTATTATCATACAGAGTCAGAACAGCAAGTAGCATAGTTGTGCATACATACATAGTTATTACACAAACACATTTGCAATCACCATATTTAAAAACGAGACATTTCACCAACATCCCATCAAATATGTTTATAATTGGTTCAAACAAATTGTGATACTAATAGTGATTTTATGCAAAGCAATGTAATACCCCACCACGTATTCAAACAAAACCGCTAGAATTACGTCAATAATGATTGTATTGGCCAAGCATTGAAAAAAAAAAGGAAAATTTAATTTTAGCATGTTCGAACAATAAGGAGCGTACTGTAGGCAAAATGTTTTAACGGTTATTATACCAATTTATACAAGATTTAAAATCATCATGTGCACTGCGAAATGAAAATAGAAAGGAATAGCAAAAATTACATGAAAAGCATGAACTCAGTTTCAGATGAAACCGTTTGTGCAATTATTATGCTCCTTTACGATTAGTGGTCTCGACCCGAGCTTGTAAACCTCGTTAACGATTGGCTGGCCCAGAGGTTGGAATTGGTCTTATGCGGTTTTAGACGTAGAAAACCGAGGTTTGCACCTGGTCGAGCTCTGAGATAAAATGGCTATTTTCAGTCAGTGCGATCTACAGCAAAGTTACAGCTGAGAAAATTTCACATTGATACAGATAGAAAACATTCCCGAAGATCATTACAGCGAAGGGCTACTTAGAACGATAAGAACAAACAAATCACACGGGCTGCTTTTTTCCCTTTATTTTTTTTTTCCGTCGATCTTGTTTTCTGTGCTGAGCACCAATGCTACCGACGCCAGGGAGACAGATCCCACATCTGGACCCTACCTATTGACCCATCTACTCATGAACCGGGGACTAACGCCTTTACTTCCCTTGCGAAGGAAGCCGTGATCAGAGATGTTATACCTCAGAACATCCCGGCGGCGCCGATGCGATTGAATCTAGGCCTCCTGGGGTGAGCAGCTCATAGCTTTATTCAGACTGTTTATTAGGGTGGGACAAAATTCAAATTCCAGTTCCAGTATGATTTCCGGGGGCCTTCTGGGTCCTAGAATAACTGTGTAAAATTTCAGGTCGGTCGGTGGAACTATATTTTAGCGCCAGCGGTTTTAATTTTACATAGGATTTTACATAGTACCGGAGACCTGTGTACAGTTTCATCAAAATCGAAGATTCTTTGAGCATGTTACTGGCTTTCCTCCATGCTGAGTGAACCCCCACACAACGTGACTGCCTCGCGTAGACAGCAACAGGCGGCAGCTAGCAGTGCTGCTAGAAAAAAGAATAATTAGCAGTTCGTTTAGTTAGCAATCAGTAATGGCTTAATTACTTTTTCCACAAGCGTCGGATCGTTTTGCGGTGTTCAAAGAAAAGTTTCCTTGTAAAATTTCCTAGGAAGTATATGGGTTGATTTATTTTTAGAGGACTATGGGTGACCTCACCAGATTTTTATTTGAAAAAGTAAGTTTTCCCATAGAAAATCCTATGTAAAATTAAAATTGCTGGCGCTAAAATATAGTTCCACCGACCGACCTGAAATTTTACACAGTTATTCTAGGACCCAGAAGACCACCGGAAATCATACTGGAACGAGAATTATTTTTTTTTTTCATATATCCGAGTCCCAGCCTACTGTTTATATAGGTAGCCTTTCGTGCAGTTTACATTTCACCTTTGTTGCACACTTTCGTTAGTCTCTACGTTTCGATCGCCTGGTAGTAGGAGCTGGTGGCATCTTACGCTTCTTCGATCTTGCTTTGATTAGAGCGTTTATCTTCAAACGACCTCCTGTTGCCGGTGGGCGCCCGCCGAGTGAAGCCTGAAAAATATTTGTGGACAATCTCTTGACAAATTTTGCTTTCAACCATCGGCGAGCTTGCATCAGCGCATAAATTAAATATTGTTTGAATACTTCTTTAATAAACCTTACCATCCTCTCTGCTTGTCCATCGCTTCGTGGGTTGTAAGGGAGACTTTTCATAAACTTTCAGAGAATGGACGTCAGATATCAAGACAGTCTGTAACTGTTCTCAATGGGACATTTCGAATAAAATAACTCATTAGTAGACAATAATGAAACAATGGTTAGGTTAGGATCGCTTTATTAATGAAATACTACAATGTACATATTCACCGTACAGAACCGTAATCCGTACATATAATGTATACGTTTTGTATGAGGTGTACAGATTTCAAATAATTTCTTAGGAGTGCTAGAAATCATCCTTAACTAAGCTTGCGCTTTGCCTCAAACTATTTTGAGCAGCGATCATCCTGTTCGCTTTGGACTTCTTCCCAATGCCTAATTTTGGGAGCCCACGATTCAGTCCTTCCAATAGTACACAAGCCTTGCACGGTTGTTGCGACGACACAAAACCACATCTATTGCATGTTCCTCTTGACGGTACTTTCACGGTATCTTTAAAAGATAACTGTTCTCCTGAGTGGATTATATCCATTATAACTGATGGTCTTATTTTCTCCAAATCTTTAAGAAAAGCTCTTGCGTGGCCACGATATGCGTTTGGTGCAAAAACGCATTCAGTGGAGAAATAAATTAGCTTCTTAAAGTGCGCGTACATTACTATCTCTTTCTCATATGCATATTTCAGGGGCTTGACACGCGGAATAGAATCTGCATCTTTTCCTCCGGTCTTTATGTTACAACACCTACGCAAGCGTGCAGTATCTCCTCGAAGTATGTTCATCAAAACTGTTTCCGCTATGTCGTCTGCGTTATGCCCGGTTGCTACACAATCCACTCGCATTAAACGAGCTCCTCGGTCCAATGCTTGACGCCGAAATACTCCACAAAATGTGCAATTGTTAGACCTTCCTATTTTATCTACAATTTTGTCCATAGTCCACCCGTAAAGTTCTTCGTACGATAGAATTTTTAACTCCATTCCATAGTCATCACGATTTTGCTTTACAGTCTCGAGACTGTCGTCTCGGTATCCAGTGATGCCTTCGTCGATCGATAATAACACTAATTTTAAACCGTAATCATATCTTTCATTTAAAACCTTCCTTTACTTAATGCCTTTGATTTTTTTGTTCGAATAATTCAATGAAACAATTAAATAAATGTTGTCATGTTACTTTTACATGTAACATTTGTATGCTCATCAGTACATAGTGGCTTTAGCAGTTTTTAATCCAACTGTGTACTAGGATTTAATATTTTTCTTTCAATCTGGCATTGCTGGTACTGGTATAATTGACAACAAGAATCGTACAGTACTATCCTAATATTTTGATCATGTGAATCAAATGAAAACTTTACCGTTTTATTAAAGAACGTTAAATTTATTTTTACTAAAGATTGCTGATATTGAAAAGCCAAACGCAACGGATTATAATTATGTTATGCATGCACAGCTTATTTGACACATGATCTTTATTAGCATATTTGCATAGCTTTAGCTTATTAGTGGATTTATGAATTTAAGGAATAAACATCAGTAGAAATTCATCAAAAAGTATTTGAAATTATATATTGCACACAAGAGGGTGTCAATGCAGTCAGATTTTAGTTTTGTTTAATAGTTAATATTTTTGGGCTATTTAACATGGCAAACAATACACGCAGTCGTGACCCGCGAATTATTAAACTTCCAACAGACGTGCTGGTGCACTTGATGAACGCCCAAAAAAAGGATAATACCGTAAGTTGGGGGGTAAATTGAGCCAAAAACACACAATTTTATGTTCCGTTCCTTATCAAATTCACATTTTAGCGAGGAAATTAGTTTTAAGCATGCGAATATATTCATCAATATTATATTTACAACTGTTGAAGAGATGGTTGATTTAAATCAAAATCTCATTTTACAAAAGATCTATAAAAACTGAACCATTGAAATTCTTTATGAGGGGTGACTTTGTTCCAAAAAAATACATCTGACCATAAATGTCAAAATAAGTAAATGCAATGTAACTATTAGGCGTTCATTTGGAAATGATCATAATGTCAATCGTATACATGAATAAGGATCACGTTTAATCCATGTCTATCCACATAAAAGCGTGTTAAAATATGTGATTACCAATAGACAATTTTAAACGCTTTTTTAAGGTATTTATGGCACTTAACTTTTGAACACTATTTAAACAAAACAACATGATAAAGTTATATACGCTTTACCCTAGGAGTACACGCAACATGATTAAGTCATCCATTTTCCCAACGCATCTGTGGTTTAGGGTTACTAAGCCTCTCATATCGGTTGTTCGGGGTTCAATCCCAATGTTCTCGGTTACTTTTGGTTTGATTAAAGTTAGTAATGTATCCGGTTTTGTCACATATCAAGTTTCTTTTATATCACTGGAAAAAAATTAAGTTATTAGATTGTTTTATAGCAGTGTAGTGGGAATCGTGATTGCTTCTCATCTCAAAAAGCCTGGGTTCAATCCCAGTCGACGCCGCCGGATTTTCTGAGGCATAAAATCCCTGATCACGCCTTCCTTCGGAAAGGAAGTAAAGCCGTTGGTCCCCGGTCCATGAGTTGATGGGTCAATAGGTAGGGTCCAGGTGTAGGAGCTCTGCCTCCCTGGCGTCGGTAGTATTTGATGCTCAGCACGGAAAACCAGATCAACGGAAAACAAATCAAAGGAAAACAAGTGTTTTATAATGAAGTGAAATTATCTCAGAAATTCATAAAAATATAATTTGAAAAATGTTTTCCATGAAAATTTTCGCGGTGGGGATATATTGCAAAGAAAAACCGAAAGAACCATTTTCTAAGTAATCACTTTTTTTCTATATTTTTTTCGAATGATAAGTGTGCCAGTTTTTAACCCTAGTTGTCATCTAATTGGCGCTATCTTGAATTTCAGATTTTTTCATTCATTATATTATTTATTTTGTTACAATGTTAGAGCACAAAACTGGAGCATTAGTTTTAAAACTGGCACACTTACCCTACTTGAAGATTTCTTATCTTTCACTGGTGAAAACTTCAGGATGGATTCCCTTACCTTTTTTGTGTTAAGATCAAAAATCTAACTAATTGAAAATTTGAATATAAAACATAATTTTTACAATGCATGAGGGTGGGAATGTAAAAATCCGTAAACTTGTGGGCAAAAATTCTAAAACATTCTGAGACTCCTCTTTGGCACAAACCTGCAGACAGATCTTTTGAACCATATCATTTTGTCTGCGCACGGACGTTAAACTTTTACGTTGCGTTTTCTTTGTTGTGAAGTTAAATTGAACAAAAAATACACCAATTGCTTGACCATGAATGGTTAAATGGCGGAGGCATCGAACCTTATTATTATCATACAGAGTCAGAACAGCAAGTAGCATAGTTGTGCATACATACATAGTTATTACACAAACACATTTGCAATCACCATATTTAAAAACGAGACATTTCACCAACATCCCATCAAATATGTTTATAATTGGTTCAAACAAATTGTGATACTAATAGTGATTTTATGCAAAGCAATGTAATACCCCACCACGTATTCAAACAAAACCGCTAGAATTACGTCAATAATGATTGTATTGGCCAAGCATTGAAAAAAAAAAGGAAAATTTAATTTTAGCATGTTCGAACAATAAGGAGCGTACTGTAGGCAAAATGTTTTAACGGTTATTATACCAATTTATACAAGATTTAAAATCATCATGTGCACTGCGAAATGAAAATAGAAAGGAATAGCAAAAATTACATGAAAAGCATGAACTCAGTTTCAGATGAAACCGTTTGTGCAATTATTATGCTCCTTTACGATTAGTGGTCTCGACCCGAGCTTGTAAACCTCGTTAACGATTGGCTGGCCCAGAGGTTGGAATTGGTCTTATGCGGTTTTAGACGTAGAAAACCGAGGTTTGCACCTGGTCGAGCTCTGAGATAAAATGGCTATTTTCAGTCAGTGCGATCTACAGCAAAGTTACAGCTGAGAAAATTTCACATTGATACAGATAGAAAACATTCCCGAAGATCATTACAGCGAAGGGCTACTTAGAACGATAAGAACAAACAAATCACACGGGCTGCTTTTTTCCCTTTATTTTTTTTTCCGTCGATCTTGTTTTCTGTGCTGAGCACCAATGCTACCGACGCCAGGGAGACAGATCCCACATCTGGACCCTACCTATTGACCCATCTACTCATGAACCGGGGACTAACGCCTTTACTTCCCTTGCGAAGGAAGCCGTGATCAGAGATGTTATACCTCAGAACATCCCGGCGGCGCCGATGCGATTGAATCTAGGCCTCCTGGGGTGAGCAGCTCATAGCTTTATTCAGACTGTTTATTAGGGTGGGACAAAATTCAAATTCCAGTTCCAGTATGATTTCCGGGGGCCTTCTGGGTCCTAGAATAACTGTGTAAAATTTCAGGTCGGTCGGTGGAACTATATTTTAGCGCCAGCGGTTTTAATTTTACATAGGATTTTACATAGTACCGGAGACCTGTGTACAGTTTCATCAAAATCGAAGATTCTTTGAGCATGTTACTGGCTTTCCTCCATGCTGAGTGAACCCCCACACAACGTGACTGCCTCGCGTAGACAGCAACAGGCGGCAGCTAGCAGTGCTGCTAGAAAAAAGAATAATTAGCAGTTCGTTTAGTTAGCAATCAGTAATGGCTTAATTACTTTTTCCACAAGCGTCGGATCGTTTTGCGGTGTTCAAAGAAAAGTTTCCTTGTAAAATTTCCTAGGAAGTATATGGGTTGATTTATTTTTAGAGGACTATGGGTGACCTCACCAGATTTTTATTTGAAAAAGTAAGTTTTCCCATAGAAAATCCTATGTAAAATTAAAATTGCTGGCGCTAAAATATAGTTCCACCGACCGACCTGAAATTTTACACAGTTATTCTAGGACCCAGAAGACCACCGGAAATCATACTGGAACGAGAATTATTTTTTTTTTTTCATATATCCGAGTCCCAGCCTACTGTTTATATAGGTAGCCTTTCGTGCAGTTTACATTTCACCTTTGTTGCACACTTTCGTTAGTCTCTACGTTTCGATCGCCTGGTAGTAGGAGCTGGTGGCATCTTACGCTTCTTCGATCTTGCTTTGATTAGAGCGTTTATCTTCAAACGACCTCCTGTTGCCGGTGGGCGCCCGCCGAGTGAAGCCTGAAAAATATTTGTGGACAATCTCTTGACAAATTTTGCTTTCAACCATCGGCGAGCTTGCATCAGCGCATAAATTAAATATTGTTTGAATACTTCTTTAATAAACCTTACCATCCTCTCTGCTTGTCCATCGCTTCGTGGGTTGTAAGGGAGACTTTTCATAAACTTTCAGAGAATGGACGTCAGATATCAAGACAGTCTGTAACTGTTCTCAATGGGACATTTCGAATAAAATAACTCATTAGTAGACAATAATGAAACAATGGTTAGGTTAGGATCGCTTTATTAATGAAATACTACAATGTACATATTCACCGTACAGAACCGTAATCCGTACATATAATGTATACGTTTTGTATGAGGTGTACAGATTTCAAATAATTTCTTAGGAGTGCTAGAAATCATCCTTAACTAAGCTTGCGCTTTGCCTCAAACTATTTTGAGCAGCGATCATCCTGTTCGCTTTGGACTTCTTCCCAATGCCTAATTTTGGGAGCCCACGATTCAGTCCTTCCAATAGTACACAAGCCTTGCACGGTTGTTGCGACGACACAAAACCACATCTATTGCATGTTCCTCTTGACGGTACTTTCACGGTATCTTTAAAAGATAACTGTTCTCCTGAGTGGATTATATCCATTATAACTGATGGTCTTATTTTCTCCAAATCTTTAAGAAAAGCTCTTGCGTGGCCACGATATGCGTTTGGTGCAAAAACGCATTCAGTGGAGAAATAAATTAGCTTCTTAAAGTGCGCGTACATTACTATCTCTTTCTCATATGCATATTTCAGGGGCTTGACACGCGGAATAGAATCTGCATCTTTTCCTCCGGTCTTTATGTTACAACACCTACGCAAGCGTGCAGTATCTCCTCGAAGTATGTTCATCAAAACTGTTTCCGCTATGTCGTCTGCGTTATGCCCGGTTGCTACACAATCCACTCGCATTAAACGAGCTCCTCGGTCCAATGCTTGACGCCGAAATACTCCACAAAATGTGCAATTGTTAGACCTTCCTATTTTATCTACAATTTTGTCCATAGTCCACCCGTAAAGTTCTTCGTACGATAGAATTTTTAACTCCATTCCATAGTCATCACGATTTTGCTTTACAGTCTCGAGACTGTCGTCTCGGTATCCAGTGATGCCTTCGTCGATCGATAATAACACTAATTTTAAACCGTAATCATATCTTTCATTTAAAACCTTCAAGACATAGGCCAATACTGTGCTGTCCTTTCCACCACTGGCTGCTATGGCCACCAAATTTCCACGCTCAAATAATTTGTTTTGCTCAATTGTGTTATGTATTTCCGTTTCAAATGCAAGAAAGAAACATTCCTTACACAATGCGTTTCCCGTTTTTGGACGCTGGAATTAAAAAAAAAAACAAATTATTAAAAACAACATATTTGTACTGGTTTTTTGCAATGCTATAGGGTTAAAACGAAGACAACAAATCAAGAAGACTGGCAACTCTTCCATTTTCTCATACCAACGCTATGAGACAGGTACAATCGCGTCATCTGCCGCTCAAAGGTAAATGCTTCGAACGAATTTGATAGCAAAGATTACATCCTCAGACGAAGGGTTTGTGTATTTGCTCATTTTTCTATGCGTTGCTTCCACCTTCACTCAAGCGCAGCGCTACTGTATCTGTCGCTTGGATTCTGGCAAAGTTGCCAGTCTTCTTGATTTGTTGTCTTCGGTTAAAATCAAATTTCCGTCATACTAAGCAAAGCCCGCACTTAACCTCTCTTTATCCCTTTTTTGTAATGTGTTTATTTTTCCAGGCTCATTTGCCGTAGCTTTGCGGAGTAGAAATTCATTGTTTAGAAAGATTACAAAATTACTTAATACTAACGTTAGTAAAGCGGGGCCGATTACTCGTGGCTATCTCGCGGTTAGGGGTAACAAATTGTAACAAATGGATGGCAGGGTAGGGATTGAGAACACAAGGTTTGGAGAGCAACGTGCTCTTGATCTCGAACTAAGCGACATACTGATGAAAAAGACAGACATGGGGGTACACCGATAGACACCTAACAACTTGGGAGAACACACTAACTACAAAATCCTCAGATCTATCCGTTTTAAAACATATACATTAAATTCCAATAGTCGCTCACCAAGATGTCTCTAACATGGGTTGTTTTCCTCGGACCCTAAGGGATGCGGAAAACTCATTTTCATTTTTATTTTCATTTTCAAGCACAGAAGGGGGTCATAGGGCCAAGTCACCAGCGAAAAATCGCTGTCCATACTGCACCAGGGTAGAGGTATAGATTTGGCATCACAGAATAATAACCACAGGGGTCAAATGAATCCTGTTTACGATACCGGATAGTAAGGAAAGCTGTTGAACACAGGGAATAGTCAGAGTAACAGCAATAATAGTGAAAGTTAGGAAAATAAGCAGGTAGAGATGGTTGATTTGCAATGGCTATCGACTCTGTTATATGGCCTACCGTATCAGATTCAAATTTAATGTCTTTTAATATTGCGCTTATTACTTTTATCTTTATTCTAAGCAATCTCCTTTCATACTTGTTTGTTTTAAAGTGAACTGGATTAAATGATTGTTTTATCAAAATTATGTTAAAGTTAACTACTATTCATATTTGCTAATTAATACCTAAATGTAATTTTTAATTTTATGAAGATAAGTTGCTCAGAATAGCAGCCTGTAATTCCGTACCAGAATCCGCCTCCAATTTAATGTCTTTTGTGGATTCGTAGTAGCAAAGTTGTGCTAAAAGCTAAATAGTTACCTTAAAATACTACCTAAATCGTTCACAATCAGAGCCGGGCCACTGATGAAAACCAAAACTACAACCCTGAAAAAACGAATCGATATTTCCGAAGGCGAACACAACCTATTCTTGCTAGTGATTCTGTCCAATTGTTAGGTATCCAAATTATAGTCATTCGTAAATTTATTATTGAATATATGGATGAATTATCTATTATTGAATAACTATTATTTACGATAATTACATGAAAGAAATAACATATAAACTACAAACAAAACGTGACTACTAAAATCTCAAAAAGATATTCTCACAAGTATATTTCACGCAACCAGGAATCTCAAAACCATTAGACGCTATAATGATACTCTGCACATGTTAGACACAAGAAAAGGCCAAAAAGCAAGCGTCCGACACACAAAACCCGCCAAATCCACTGGCAGTCACAATCAACGATTCTACGAATCGCGAGCGCTCACGAATCATAAAACCGCTGACTGCGACACTCTGAAAGCGAAATTGACAGGCTCTATGCGTCAAACACCCGCCCCCCAATCTCCTCCCGCATCCAACAACACAAACCTCCATTACAACATCTAACGAATTCAAAACTCCAAAAATCACTCATCTATAGAAAGTGAGTGGAAGCAACCCTGCATGCAACTATTCTTACTGATACGCTTTGTCTGTCTATCTTTCTATTAGGCCTGTGGACATGTCTTAGCTTCGAAACTTCTAACCAAACTAGGAAAATTTTGAAATAACAAAAAAAAAAATTCAAAGGTAATTACAAGCAAAATACATATTGATTATTTTACGCAAAACCGAGCAAGTAATATTAAATCTCTTGTATTGTATGCTAATGCTAATTGACTGTAACAAAAATAATATGCTTAAATAAAATTAAATATTAATAAAATGATATGCAAAATTTACTAGAAGGTCATTACTTTATTGGTGAGAAGTTTCTAATAAGCCCTCCCAGTTCCTCTGTATACAGAACAAATCTGATACTATAATCAGAATTGCTCAGTCTGCATGAAGCAGCCGATTGCATCAAGGAAGTTCTATTAACAACCAAGAATTAATCGTTTGAGGTATACTGAAGCATTAAGAAGGTGATATGTGTCACTATGGGAAATCATCATCGTTGCAAATATAAAGAAATTAAACATAACCCTTTGCTTCAGTACCGTCAACCTCCATGTCCATGGGGAGGGCCCTAAGGGATGCGGACTCGGATCTAAATGGAGGGTGCATGACCAAAGCACGTGGGTGATGTTGTGATAACCACTACCACAAGCGCACAAATTGCTGTCTGCGAGCCCGATTCGAAAGAAATGCGATTCTAAAGAGCAGTGATTGGACATGAGCCTCGACATTACACGTATAATGTCACGGTTCATGTCCAACCCTTTGAACCACGGCTTGTTCGACACCTGTGGGAGAAAAGAATGTAACCATCTTCTCAGATCACTCATTCCTTTTTTGTTGCCAGTTGGTGAGGACTTGCTGACGGGTAATTGAGAAAAATTCCGCAAAGGCGATTTGTCGATCATAAATATCGCCTTCCGCCCACTTTAGCCAACGAGTCCAATGAGATAGGACCCAGACTAAAGTGATAATATAGGAGCAGTTAGATAAAGTACTCAGTTTGGCTCGAATTTCAGTCAAGAAATACGAGGAGTGCTTCATCGGCCTCATTGAACGAATAGCCGCCAACGAGCTAAGGCTATCCGTAAAAATGAAATAGTGATCAGAGGGTAGTGAGACAATTTGCTCTACTGCGTAGAATATGGCTGCTAGGGGTTTTTGCAGTTGATATGAGGCGCTATGAAATTCGTTGAATACTCCAAATCCAGTGGAAGCGTTTATAGTTGACCCATCTGTGAAAAAACTCCTATTGTTACTGACATGGTGGTACTTGTTTGCAAAAAGGGGAGAACACCATCGAGTACTTCAAGGCTCATCGTATGCGTCGAATGCATACAGCCAAGCGATTATTGGCTCATGTATTTTCGTTTCATCCAAACGTATTGGGGATACGTATTGATGGGTAATGATGAATTGAAGTGCATTAATGCCATTTTGTGTAATAATTAGTATTTTATGTATTGGCGATTATTTATGTGTAGAATATGCACTTAACGTGTACTGAACAATATTTACTCGCATTTTTACGTTCTTTTCACTATTCGTGCCGTGTTTGTTTACATTTGTGTATCAATGACATTTGCGAACTAAAGGCACCACGAAGCGAGTCACGAACAAGCAAATGTTCAGTGTAAAGAGCCTGAATTTATAAAGAGGTGACATCTTATCCATTTGAAAGGTCTTTTTTTTAACTTTATTAGAGAGATTTTTAGCCGTTGGCTAGTTCATCTCTATAAAATGGGAGGCCCCAGAGGGGGGTTCCGCCAGCAAATTTTGTTACGGAGTTGGCTTACAATTCACATGTACTCAAATAGAAGCCATTAAAACAGATTCCAGTAAAAAGACTAACAATACAGGCAACGAGAAGAAGAAAAAAACAATCTGGTACATCAAAGTTATGTAGGGTTTTGAAAGAGATCGGAGCTCCACCGTAGGAGGGGTAATCCCTATGTGCCTTACCTATAGGTGAGGCAGTTAAGGTTATCAATGTATTAGTGAGCTTGCCAAACGTTAATAAGTGGTAGTTTCAACTTGTGTACACGAGTATCTGACAAGAGGAGATGAAAGTTGTGATGTCACAATCATTTTTTACGCCTGAAGTTGAGTGCAGTGAGCATAAATTTATTTAATTTTTACTGTTTTTGGTTGATATTAATTATAATGCCGTCGTGTGCCGTAAAACCTTGTGCAATAAAAGCTTATCGGGCTAAACAAATGGGTATAAGTTTGCATATTTGCCCTAAAAAACCTGATGTTCGGAAGCGCTGGATTTCATTTTGCCGAATCAGAGATTTTTCTGCCAAGTTTCGTGTTTGTTCTCTTCACTTCGAGAAGAACGATTTCGAACATAAGTTCCAGAAAGATGCTAGGAATGTTCTATCGTCGGAAGGTAATCCATCAAATTCAGTATTTGTTGAAGCTTAATGAAAATTATATGGATTTTAGCTGTACCGTCGATCTATACACCACCTTCTTCAAACCCATCAGCGCGTACGCTTCGAATGGAAAAGAAAACCAGATCGGAATTAGTAGCGGAACTACTGAAACATCATGACACGGATGAACTTCCTGACACATCAGCCGAAGAATCTCACCTTCCTGTTCCAGACGATCGAGTCCCGGGAAACGGCAATTCAATATTTGATTCTCCAGTGTCCCACAGCGCAACGTTTAAAAGAGTCTCGCAGTTTATGCAGCAATCAATTCCATCCCAGACGGAAGTTTATGAAGGAAGAAGAACCGGTTCAAATATTTCTCAGGTTATATCGATAGAGGACGAGTTCGACCGAGAAGCTGAAGTAGGAAGATTGAAAACGATCAGGGACTTAAGATCTGTCATTGTTCATCAAAAGCTGACAATACGTAATCTTCAAGTTGAGGTATTTATTCCTACTCACACGTGATAAGCCCTTAGGTGATTGATGTTTTGAATTCTTACAGTTGCGTGAGAAAGAAGTTCAAATCAAA